GGAAAGAATGACGGGCGGGTGACGTCAAGACACACACGGGCGGGTGACGTCATGACCAGGAAGGGATAAAAGCACATCCGGTGCAAACCGGCATTAGCTTCGAAAATTGCCGAAGCAAGCCGATCACAGGGATGCAGGAAGTATGGCAGGGTGACGCATCGTCTCGTGCACTTTTATGATGGACTGATGCACTTTTATGATGGATAGATGCACTGTTATGATGGATCTGCTTTCTCAGGGAACTATGGTTACAGTCGTAACCTGAGACGTTCCCTTTCGAGGGAACTCGCGATGCATCAACGACGCTTTGGGAACGAGAATACCTAAAACGCCAGACTTTCAAATGCCTGAGTGTCAGCCTGTTGTCACACTGCACCAAGCACCTGGGTTCCTGGGGCAGCATTCAGGTCCAAGCTCTAAAACCTCACGAATGTGAGTGGTGAGGACCAGCCCGCCGCATCACAAACATCTTGGAGATAACTCCAGATAATACGCTTAGAAGCCATACTCCTAGTGGAATGAGCCCTGACCACCAAATGGTTGGCCAGAAGACTCACAAGCAAGAAGAATAGTCTCCACTATCTATTTGCTCAATAGGTTGGATTTTCTCGACAGAGAAGTCCTCCTGGTCCGAAAAATGGGGGAGGACAAAAACCTGCAGCACAATAGGCCTCGGAATAATGGTAGGCACCTTTGGAACATATCCATGTTTCGGGTAAGATTGCCTTGGCCATCCCCGGTGCACTCAAGGCAGGTGGGGACCGAAAGGGCCTGAAGGTCTGACTCTTATAGGGACGAAATAGCTAGCAGAAAATAGTCTTAAAAGAAAGGAACTTCTCTGAGACCAAATCTAAGGGCTCGAAGGGAGCCCCAGATAGGCCTTCATGATTAATCTTATGATTAATCATGACTATCATCCTCTTAATGAAATATCTCAAGCTTTTGTGAGTACCTACAGCTCAAGATTAATTCATCCACGCTGCTACAAAGAGCGTTTTAGAAAGTCTTTTTTCCAAACTGCAATTAGATTTTATAATCAGTGTTATGTGAGATGATATATATATATATATATATATATATATATATATATATATTTATGTATTTATTCTGGTCGTATATAATCATGGTGCTTTGAAAAATTGATACTTGAGAACAAGATTTGTTGCTGTTGTGTATGTTGTTTGTTGTTGTTGTTGTTTATTTATTCATTGTATTTCTATGCTGTTGTGACACATAAATTTCCCCCTGGGGGATTAATAAAGTAAATCAAATCAAATCAAATCTAGAACTATTGCCAGGTCCCAAGCCAGCACCCTAGTGCAAGTTGCAGGCCTCAGCCTCAAAGTGTCACGAAGGAAACGAGTGATCAGGGGGTCGCGACCCAAAAATGTACTACCCACCAGGGTGTGGAAAGCCGCAATGGCCGCCACGTATACCTTAAGCGTGGAAGGACATAGACCTGATACAAAGCGTTCTTGCAGAAACTCGAATACTGTGTTTACTGAACAGTTAACCGGATCCCACTGACACTGGTAACACAAAGAAGTGAAAAACTCTCGAAATAGCGAATACAGTTTCCTCGTAGCGGGAGCTCTGGAGCTTAGAATGGTCTCAACAACCTCGGTTGAGAGACCACTCTCTATGAGTTGGGCCCCCTCAGAGGCCAAACCCACAGTTTCCAAATCCCCTGCCGGGGGTGGAATATTGCATCCCCTGCCTGAGACGGAAGGTCTCTCCTAATGGGGACCTCCAAGGGAGGTCCGTCGATGAGAAAAATTAGGTCCGCAAACCAAATTCAGCTCGGCCAGGGTGGTGCTACTAATTAGGCTTATTCCATCCTGGCGGAATCACTCCAGAACTCCTGGGAGCAGAGCAACAGGGGGAAATGCGTACAGACGTAGCCTCGGCCACGTCTGCACCATAGCAACCAGCCCCGAGGGGACTGGTTGAGTAAGGGATAACCAGAGTGGACAGTGCGTCGTATGCTGAGACGAGAACAAATCCACTTCTGCCTGGCCGTAAAACTCCCATATTTGCTCCACCGCCTCGGGATGGAGTCCCCTGGCCTCAGCCCCTGCCTCGACAGGGTGTCTGCTCCAATATTCTGGCCCCCTGGAATATACACTGCCCTCAGACAGCGTAACCCCAACATCTGCATATGAGCGAGAATGACACCTCGGTGCCGAACCGCTAACTGTTCTGATTCCGCTAGAATCAGCCAGTCATCTATGCAATTCAGAAAGCGTATGCACTGCAGCCTGGCGGGGCCAGAGCTGCGTCTACACGCTTCGTGAATGTGCGGGGTGATAGAGCTAGACCGAAAAGAAGTGCCTGATACTGGTGTTCTTTGCCCCAAAGAAAACCTCAAGAACCTCCTGTGCTGAGGGAGGTATGGAAGTATGCATCTTTTAGATCTATCGTGACAAACCAGTCCTCGGATCTTGATTTGAGTCACGATCTGTTTGAGTGTTAGCATCTTGGACTTGAGTTCCAGCACCAAACACTCCAACAGACGAAGATCTAGTATGTGACGCAGCTCTCCATCCTCTTTTGGAACAATGAGATAACGACTGTAAAGACCCGACGCAATGTCGGGTGTGTACACCTGCTCTATAGCTTTCTTTGCTAACAGGGCTTTTACCTCTTGCTCCATTACCAGAGCCTGCTCGGAATGCACTAATGTGAGCAACACTCCGTTGTAGCCTGGAGGACGAGAACCAAATCTGCCTCTTACTACTAACTGCAGGACCCATAGAGATATATTTGGCAGTAGCTTCCGCGCTGCCAGAAAATCTACCAAGGGAACCAGCCCCTCGAGGCTGGCCTCTGGTGTAATAAAGACAGCCAGTTCGGGGACCTGAAGCATACTGGCAGGAACCACCCGAAATGACTGTTTTCGAACCCCCCTCAGAGGGCGCGAGTCCGACGCAATGTCGAGTTGACGCTGCGCCAGAAGCTCGCTGGAGACCGCTGCGCCCCAAAGCACCAAGGGTGGCGGGGTTGGCAGAACGGTCCCCTGAGGGCACCGAGATGGAAAGGGCACCGTATAATGAGGTGTACACCATTTCACCCCGGTTGGGGCTGCCCTCACCGGTCTGACGCCGGTGGCGCCAGACCTTTTCTTTGGAGCCGCAGCCTTCTCAGCGTGAAGAACGGTCCTCGGATCCGGCTTCTGCTTTGAAGGCTTTGGCTGCTGTGTTGTGTATGAGAAACTAGACGGCTGGAGCTGCTCATGCCCAGCAGCCCCAGGGGGTTGGACATAGCGAGGGAGAGATTATCTTGTATCTTTCTCCATGATTCCCATCAAATTGAGCCAGAGGTGTCTCTCAGTGACCACAAGGGCTGCCATCCCTGAGAAATAAATCTGAGGCCCGACGGAGTTCTCAAACCCCATCGGGCCAAACTCCCTCACTTCTGTCCAAATAACGCAGCAGGTCAGCCTGATTTGCTTGTAGCACTGCTATAGTTTGCAAGCATGCTCATGTTAGACCCCATGCCATATATGCTTTTCCCACTAGATTAAAAAATAGTTTTCTTTAATGGTTTAGTGAGAGAAGCCGATACTGAACCGGGAGACAGATAGCTCGCAAGCGTCTGTTCTACCCGGGGTATTGCCCCATAGCCATACTCTCTTAACCCCCAAATATCTGAATATACATGAATGTGGGGGCTAAAAGACAAGATGAGTAAGGCTTTTTCCATGATCTAGACAGCTCGCCGTGCAGATCGGGAAAAATGGAAGGCCCCGTGATGGAGGTGGAAAAATAGAGGGAAGGAAACTCGTCAATTTATTTTATTTTTAGTACGAGTGCCCCCTTATTTCTGCTGGCCATTAAATATTTAATTTATCTACAGCCTTAGTAAACACCTCCACCAGCTTATTTTTTTTTTTTATATATTCTTTATATATATTCACTTTATTTTACATATAATATATAAACTATCATATATATATATATATATATATATATATATATAGGCTATATATATTTCTCATACTTTGGGGAAAGAGATGGCAAATCCACTTCCCCCATGATTGTGTCACTTTCAATGCCCAGCACATCTACCTCCTCGGAGGTAGAGGACTGAAGCATTGATTTCTCTCCCCGGGCGGAAGAGACCGCAGCGCGGGCTTCCGAGACCGGCGAGAGAGCACTGGATCCCTCGTGGAAAAGGAGGAGATAAGATCCGCGGACCCGTCTCCAACCCCTTAAAAAGATCCTATTCGCGATCCACAGGAATGCATTCTCCGCGCTGCCTCGGCAGACGCGGGTCCTGCACCCTGAGGATCGCGAGCCTGGCCACTTTCCTCGAAAAGCACCAGGCGAGAGTGGAGCATGCGGAGCGGAAGCATCTCGCATGTCCACCCGTTAAATAATGCGGGCAGGGAGAAGCACAGAGTTTGGAAAGTTGTTTCGCCATAACTCTTCCCAATAATATCGAACAGACAACAATAAATAGACAGAGACAGAGTAACATAGATCGCTTACTGAGGCACAGAAGCTAATGCCGGTTTGCACCGGATGTGCTTTTATCCCTTCCTGGTCTTGACGTCACCCGCCCGTGACGCTCATTCTTTCCATTGGACTAGTTGACATTGATGCTCAGACGCATTCACGCTGGGGGCGTTCTCAAAGCGTCGTTGACGCATCGCGAATTCCCTCGAAAGGAAAGTGCATCTATCCATGATAAAAGTGCATCTATCCATCATAAAAGTGCATCTGTCCATCATAAACCTTTATCAACTAAAATAACTAGCTTCCGGCCAAACAAACATACGGATTCGACTTAAGCATTACTTATGCGAGTGATGTGACGGACTGCTGATATCTACGCTACGCCATGACGCACTTCGCTACTTCTGACGTCATAAGTTGCGCTTTAGGCGCAAGTAGAGACCGTGAGAATTTTACTTTGTAACATGTTAAATATGTATATTTTTCTTCCACAAATGCATCATGAATCAGATTAATCAGATGATCTCTCTTGCGGGTGTGCAGACGGCGGGCTGCTAAACCCCGACGCGCCACAGACGTGCCCGTTCTGCCAGCGCGAGGCGTCTCTGGGGGAACACCTGAGCTTCTGCCCGGCCCGGGACACGGGAGACGGTGTGTGTCCTCTCTGCGGGTTCAGTTCACCGTACCGGTCTCAGATGGAGCGGCACTTGACTCTCCACGCTCACACGGACGAGAAGGTACGTCACACACACACATGCAGGGGTGTGTTTCCCGTGCGACGGCGTAACTCGCTGCTTAACTAGTACGAACGATGCATCGTTGAAGAAATCAACTATAGTCACGACTGTTTCCCGAAACTGCAAATTGTGTTTTCAACCACGTTGGTTAATGACGTCACGCAGGTGTTGGAGTAATAACTACTTTTAATAAATCTGTTTAAGATCGAATTAACGTTAGATGTTTTGATATAAATTAGACATGGCATCTGAGGAATATTTCTCATTTTTCTCAGTTATTTCGCCTTACAGGTGAAACTCGAAAAATTAGAATATCGTGCAAAAGTTAAAGGGTTAGTTCACCCAAAAATAAAAATGATGTCATTAATGACTCTCCCTCGTGTCGCTCCAAGCCCGTCAGACCTCCGTTCATCTTCGGAACACAGTTTAAGATATTTTAGATTTAGTCCGAGAGCTTTCTGTCCCTCCATTGTAAATGTATGTACGGTATACTCTCCTTGTCCAGAAAGGAAATAAAGACATCATCAAAGTAGTCCATGTGACATCAGTGGGTTAGTTAGAGTGTGTTGAAGCATCGAAAATACATTTTGGTCCAAAAATAACAAAAACTACGACTTTATTCAGCATTGTATTGTGTTCCGGTTCTGTTGTGGATCCGCGTTCAGTGCCGCTGCTGACGTGTGTCTGGTGTGTGTGTGTGTCTTCCGGTTCTGTTGTGGATCCGCGTTCAGTGCCGCTGCTGACGTGTGTCTGGTGTGTGTGTGTGTGTGTCTTCCGGTTCCATTGTGGATCCGCGTTCAGTGCCGCTGCTGACGTAAGACGCTGCTGACGTGTGTCTGGTGTGTGTGTGTGTGTGTGTGTGTGTGTGTGTGTGTCTGGTGTGTGTGTGTGTGTGTGTATTCTGGTTCTGTTGTGGATCCGCGTTCAGTGCCGCTGCTGACGTAAGACGCTGCTGACGTGTGTCTAGTGTGTGTGTGTGTATTCTGGTTCTGTTGTGGATCCGCGTTCAGTGCCGCTGCTGACGTAAGACGCTGCTGACGTGTGTGTGTGTGTGTGTGTGTGTATTCTGGTTCTGTTGTGGATCCGCGTTCAGTGCCGCCGCTGACGTAAGACGCTGCTGACGTGTGTCTGGTGTGTGTGTGTGTGTGTGTGTGTATTCTGGTTCTGTTGTGGATCCGCGTTCAGTGCCGCCGCTGACGTAAGACGCTGCTGACATGTGTCTGGTGTGTGTGTGTGTGTGTATTCTGGTTCTGTTGTGGATCCGCGTTCAGTGCCGCTGCTGACGTAAGACGCTGCTGACGTGTCAAGTCAAGTCAAGTCACATTTATTTATATAGCGCTTTTCACAATACAGATTGCATCAAAGCAGCTTCACAGTGATAACATGAAAGTAGTACAACACAGTTCAATAATATTGTTGAATATTAAATATCCCCAACTAAGCAAGCCAAAAAAAGGTGTCTGGTGTGTGTGTGTGTGTATTCTGGTTCTGTTGTGGATCCGCGTTCAGTGCCGCCGCTGACGTAAGACGCTGCTGACGTGTGTCTGGTGTGTGTGTGTGTGTGTGTGTGTGTTTCGCTTCTGTTGTGGATCTGCGTTCAGTGCCGCTGCTGACGTGTGTCTGGTGTGTGTGTGTGTGTGTGTGTGTGTTTCGCTTCTGTTGTGGATCTGCGTTCAGTGCCGCTGCTGACGTGTGTCTGGTGTGTGTGTGTGTGTGTGTGTGTGTGTGACGTAAGACGCTGCTGACGTGTGTGTGTGTGTGTGTGTGTGTGTGTGAGTGTGTGTGTGTGTGTGTGTGTGTGTGTGTGTGTGTGTGTGTCTGGTGCGCCTGAGCTTCGTCTACAGTCTGAGGGAGACGCACGCTGGAAACAAAACAATCTTCGCAAACATGTCTAAGGATTTCCACACAGAGGAAGACTTGCATTTTTCTGCCCAGCCATATTTATTTGAACCCGAATACACGGACGCACCAGACACACACACACACACACACCCACCAGACACACGTCAGCAGCGTCTTACGTCAGCAGCGGCACTGAACGCGGATCCACAACAGAACCGGAACACACACACACACCAGACACACGTCAGCAGCGTCTTACGTCAGCAGCGGCACTGAACACGGATCCACAACAGAACCGGAACACACACACACACACACACCAGACACACGTCAGCAGCGGCACTGAACGCGGATCCACAACAGAACCGGAACACAATAAAATGCGGAATAAAGGCCTAGTTTTTGTTATTTTTGGACCAAAATGTATTTTCGATGCTTCAACACACTCTAACTAACCCACTGATGTCACATGGACTACTTTGATGATGTCTTTATTTCCTTTCTGGACAAGGACAGTATACCGTACATACACTCACCGGCCACTTTATTAGGTACACCTGTCCAACTGCTCGTTAACACTTAATTTCTAAGCAGCCAATCACATGGCGGCAACTCAGTGCATTTAGGCATGTAGACATGGTCAAGACAATCTCCTGCAGTTCAAACCGAGCATCAGTATGGGGAAGAAAGTTGATTTGAGTGACTTTAAACGTGGCATGAATGTTGGTGCCAGAAGGGCTGGTCTGAGTATTTCAGAAACTGCTAATCTACTGGGATTTTCACGCACAACCATCTCTAGGGTTTACAGAGAATGGTCCGAAAAAGAAAAAACATCCAGTGAGCGGCAGTTCTGTGGGCGGAAATGCCTTGTTGATGCCAGAGGTCAGAGGAGAATGGCCAGACTGGTTCGAGCTGATAGAAGGGCAACAGTGACTGAAATAACCACTCGTTCCAACCGAGGTATGCAGCAAAGCATTTGTGAAGCCACAACACGCACAACCTTGAGGCGGATGGGCTACAACAGCAGAAGACTCCACCGGGTACCACTCATCTCCACTACAAATAGGAAAAAGAGGCTACAATTTGCAAGAGCTCACCAAAATTGAACAGTTGAAGACTGGAAAAATGTTGCCTGGTCTGATGAGTCTCGATTTCTGTTGAGACATTCAGATGTTAGAGTCAGAATTTGGCGTAAACAGAATGAGAACATGGAACCATCATGCCTTGTTACCACTGTGCAGGCTGGTGGTGGTGGTGTAATGGTGTGGGGGATGTTTTCCTGGCACACTTTAGGCCCCTTAGTGCCAATTGGGCATCGTTTAAATGCCACGGCCTACCTGAGCATTGTTTCTGACCATGTCCATCCCTTTATGGCCACCATGTACCCATCCTCTGATGGCTACTTCCACCATGTCACAAAGCTCTAATCATTTCAAATTGGTTTCTTGAACATGACAATGAGTTCACTGTACTAAAATGGCCTCCACAGTCACCAGATCTCAACCCAATAGAGCATCTTTGGGATGTGGTGGAACGGGATATTCGCATCATGGATGTGCAGCCGACAAATCTGCGGCAACTGTGTGATGCCATCATGTCAATATGGACCAAACTCCCTGAGGAATGCTTCCAGCACCTTGTTGAATCTATGCCACGAAGAATTGAGGCAGTTCTGAAGGCAAAAGGGGGTCCAACCCGTTACTAGCATGGGGTACCTAATAAAGTGGCCGGTGAGTGTACATTTACAATGGAGGGACAGAAAGCTCTCGGACTAAATCTAAAATATCTTAAACTGTGTTTCGAAGATGAACGGAGGTCTGACGGGCTTGGAGCAACACGAGGGAGAGTCATTAATGACATAAGTTTAATTTTTGGGTGAACGAACCCTTTAAGAGTTTTCTGTTAAAACAGTGTCGTGTTTAATAACTAATGATCGCTGCGACGGAAGTGAATCAATTAAAACTAACTTTAGCTGGGAAATAACGTTATTCTAGAGCTGCTGTAAAGCCAACACAATCTATGTTACTGTAATCTCCTGTTATCACTGTAAAGCTGCTTTGGAACAATCTCCATTGTTAAAAGCGCTGTATAAATGAAGATGACTCCAAACTAAAATTAAAACCAATCCATTGAACGAATTTTAAGATATTAGCAAATGTCTGAGCTGCTCGTTTCCATTCAACCCCCAAAACAAACAAATCCCCACCATCATAACAGTAATCCATAACACTTGTGCAATGCGTTTACTCTCACATCATGACTTCAGAAGGGCTGGGCGATAAACAATATCATATCGATGATGATAAGCTCTGGACATTTTTACTTGATATGGAATAATCTAACAGCCTCTCACATACAGGTGCAACTCGAAAAATTAGAATATGGTGCAAAAGTTTATTTATTTCAGTAATTCAACTTAAAAGGTGAAACTAATATATTATATAGACTCATTACATGCAAAGTGAGATATTTCAAGCCTTTATTTGTTATAATTTTGATGATTATGGCTTACAGCTTATGAAAACCCCAAATTCAAAATTAGAATATTGTGAAAAGGTTTTCATAAGCTGTAACTTTGCATGTAATGAGTCTATATAATATATTAGTTTCCCCTTTTAAGTTGAATTACTGAAATAAATGAACTTTTGCACGATATTCTAATTTTTCGAGTTTCACCTGTATTTCCAGATTCAATCATAGGCTCGTTCTTACACACTAGAGCTCGTTCACACATGCGCACTCTTCAAAAACTACGCTTTAAATCTCGACAAACTAAAAACGTAAATGACATTTGTATGTATTCTAAATAAAAGACACAGGTTGCACTGAATGTCAGTTTGCTTATTTTGCTCAAGATAAGGATTTATTGAGTCCACATGTCATGCAAACTAGAAACTCGTCTTCTAACCACAAACACACAACTCTGCGATGCTGTTTGCGAATGTTCGTTAGAACGATGGTTTCGGGAAACACAGACTCGTTGAACTGCTGATAACGACGGAACTTGCGACCATTTTTGGCTAACGTTGCTTTTGGGAAACACACCCCAGAACGAATGACACGCATGTAGACGTGTGCTAACTGCTCATGATTTCATGTATGTCCCAGAACTCCTTGTCTGAGCCCAGTATGGAGAGCAGGAAGTTCAAGTGTAATCAGTGTGGAAAAGCCTTTAAATACAAGCATCACCTCAAAGAGCACCTGCGCATCCACAGTGGTAAGAAACACAACCCGCCAAAGTGGATTCAAAGAATGCACAAGTCATATTTCACACAAAATTTACATTGTGCATGAAGAAAATAAATATTTTACCAGGACTTCTCTGCCTTGACATTATTTTTTAGGGAACTATTTATATGCTAAATTCTTCAACATTTATATGCTAAATTCCTATTGCTGTAATGTAGGGGGGAAATATTTTTATAGTAATGAAAATTAAAATTATCTGGACACATTTATTTTTGTATATATATATATATATATATATATATATATATAAAGAGAGAGAGAGAAAATTATATAAAATATATATTAAAAAAATTATAATTCAAAAATATTAAGTTAATACATTTATTTATGTATATTAATTATCCTATAATATACTGTATATTATTCACATAATTCAAAATATTTTTTTGGTTTTGGTGTAAAATAAGCCAATTTCCGCAACATAAGAAAACCAAAACTTTTTAGAAACAAATCACATTTTGGTAAATCATAAGCATAACAGTCATAATTATGGCATAATAAGTAAGGAATATATTATTTAAAAAGTTGTTGATGCATTATAAAAATTATGACTTAGTTATACACACAAGTCACACTTTTTGTCATAATTATGACATTTTGTGTCATGAGATTCAATAAATTCCTCTACATATACTTCTAAAACCATTATTATGCTGAATAAAGCAATTTAAAAAAAAATTACGATAAAAAACATGCATGAGAATAAAAACACACCAATTAAGTACAATTTAAGTCCACCTGTGGTAAAAACAAACAAACAAGTGTGTAATGTTGTTTATGTGTCTATGTGGTGTTTTTAATACGCTTTAAGACAAACCATGTATAAGTTCATAAGTCGACAGCATTGCTGAGTATTTTCTGCTTAAAACTGCAGTGAACCAAAGACAGTCTCAAAAACACGGTTTCCTACCATCACAAACGTGACCAATCCCGTCACAAGGGGGCGGGGCTTTTCCTATCATTGCTATCACATGTTCTGTGTAACTTTATCAACAGATTACTAGATGTTTGATAACGTAGTCAAGCCAACAGTTAATCATATTTACTGTTATGAGTCCGACGTTGTAGAGAGCACATTAATATTCTTCTAGAAGAGCCTTTATGATTCACTCTTTCTCTTCTTCTGAATCAGTTTCTGTTTCAAACATAGTCGGCTGAATTAAACCAATATTTCCACTTGGATCAGGTAATCCGAGCTGGAGTGGGTGAGTGAGTGGAGGCGGGGCTCATTTGCATATTCATGAATCCACGCATACTAAATGAAGCAATGATGTCGAGTTACATTCAAGCTATTTTAAGGCATGAAGAAATGATTTTCACAGGAAAAAACATTTAAATGTCTCATTTTGATTATCAAAGATGAGTTTTAAGGGATTAAGTTATCGACACGGGGCTCATTTGCATATTCACAGAACCGCGTATATCGAATGAAGGAAGGGTGTCGAGTTACATTCAAGCTATTTTAAGGCATGAAGAAATTATTTTCACAGGAATAAAAACATTTAAATATGTCATTTTGATTATCAAATATGAGATTTAAGGGATACAGTTATGGACTGAATCTCTGTGTCCACAGGTGAGAAGCCGTATGAGTGCTCGAACTGTAAGAAGCGCTTCAGTCACTCGGGATCCTACAGTTCACACCTCAGCAGCAAGAAGTGCCTCAGTGGGAACGCAGCTCATTTTAACGGACACTCCCATCATGCGTACTTGACGCCCGTCTTCCCATCGCCCACGTCGCCCCCTGTGGTCGGCGGGAGAAACTGCAGCCGGGGAAAGTTCCCGCTTGAGTCCGCCGTTCCCGTTTTGAGCCGGACGTGGGATCCCGCGGATGATTTGGCCATGAGGACGGGTGTGTTTAAAGGCACAACGTTGCTACCGTTGCTTCAGTCGCGTAGTAAATTCGAACACCTCCTTCAGGAGATGCTCCGTCGGGAGGTGGGAGACGAGGCGCGGAAAAACAAGAGATCAACAGCGTGTAATAACCTGTCGTCGCCACAGCGCGCATCTTGGCATTCGGTCCCGCAGCAAATCCTCGTGCCTTTACCAACACCATTGCAACTAGCGCAAGATTCCCCCCACAAACACTGGCTGGGAGAAGAAGGTGGCCCGACATCACCCACGTTACCCGAACGCAAGCACCTCCGGTATGGCTCGCCAACTTATCTGGATCTGTCAATCAACACATCTCCACGACAACCAACCTATCATATTCAGAGCGAACCTTTAGACTTATCCATCCCTAAACCTCATTCGGCATCCGCCGTGCCACGAGAGACCAGAACTTGTAATGGTTACTCGCCGCAACGAGAACGACGCGATGGTGAGACTGTGTTTAAGAGATTGACTCCGCCCTCCCAGCAGCAGGTGGGCGGGGCTTATGTGCCATCGCCGCTGTTTAGCAGCACGGTGTTCAGCAGCTACCCTCTCTTCAGTCACATGATCCCAGGACACAACGGTCTAACATCACTTCCTCTCACGCCACCAACACCAAGCCCAGGCTTCCTGTCTCCAGTGGCGTATATGGTGGAGGCGGAGCCAGAGCCAATGCTGAAGAGAATCCAGCATGAAAGACATTCGATTATGGTAAGAGCAAACACTCATAAAGGTTTTAAGATTTATAATGCACATTTAATCAGAAAACGACTGCAGCAACGCCAAAAATAAGTTAAAATTTGTAAAAAATATTATATTAATTGTAACAAAAATATATTTGAAATATGTGTAATACAATCTGAAAATAAAAATCATATTCGTTATAACAAACACATATTCTAAATATGTATAATAAAATATACAAATATGACATTCAGCATAACAGAAATGTATTCTAAATATGCATAATAAAATATATAAATAAAAATATAATATTTATTTTAACATAAAAATATTCTAAATATGTATAACAAAATATAAAAATAAGAATGATGTTCATCATAAGAAAAATATTCTAAATATGCACAATAAAATATAAAAATGAATATATGACATTCAGCATAAGAAAAATGTATTCTAAATATGCATAATAAAATATTGAAATAAAATATATGACATTCAGCATAGGAAAAATGTATTCTAAATATGCATAATAAAATATAAAAAATGTATAATATTCATCATAACAAATTTATTCTATGTATAATAAAATATACAAATAATATATTTATCATAACAAAAATGTTTTCTAAATATATATAATAAAGTAAAAAAAAATATGATATTCATTATAACAAAAAGGTAGTCTAAATATGTATAATAAAATATAAAAATATGACGTTTATCATAAATTTATTTTAAACATCTATAATAAATGTAATGTAATGTAATGGCTTGACAAGCATATTTCCTGTCCTGAGGCGACTCTGTTGAAACAGGAAGTTGGGGGCGAACATATTGACGTTATTATTAATTTTATAAAATACCCAATAGCCTTTGATTTGCATCAAAGTGAACAATAATACACCCTTGAGTGCAAGAACAATTTTTTGGTTTATTTTCACAGAAGACAAAGACTTTTAAATGTGTTTATTTGTATAGCTCTTTTTACAATACACATTTATTAAAAGCAGCTTTACAGAAAATCATGATGTTAATGTTTATATCATCTTAATATCTTCATGCCTTATAGTTGCATTTCTGGACGATAATATAGTTTATCTGCTAAAAATATGTGGACTCGCATCCAGACGGTCATAAACCCGTCAGACATGGACTAAAAGCAATAAAAGATTTCATGTTTTCTGTAGTATTTACAGTTAATGATCTGAACACAACAATCATTATTTATTATTTTAACACATTTAATTAAAATTAGCAAATGCCACAAATAAAAAATAATTAAAAATTAATAAATTAATTGTATATGTGTGTGTGTGTGTGTGTTAATTAATATAATATCAGATTTATTCAATTTCCTTTGAAAATACTAGTACTCATGAATCAAATGAAATGATATTAGAATGAGAAAGACTGATTTTACACTCTTAGTCATAAAATGAGAATATGAAACATTTACACACACAAAACCATTCTCACTCACTCACTCACACACACTCACACATACACACACACACGCACACATGCACACACACGCACTCACATACGCACACACACATGCACTCACACACACACTCTCAGACACACACACACACACACACACACACACACACACTCTCACACACACTCTCTCACACACACACACACACACACTCACTCTCACACACACACACACACACACACACACTCGCACACACACACACACACTCACACACACACACACACACACACACACACACACACACACACACACACTCGCACACACACACACACACACACACACTCACACACACACACACACACACTCACACACACACACACACACACACTGTGGTACTGCAACAGCTGCATGGCCGCTCTCCTCTGATCTTGCAGTTTTGGTGAACATGTTTCCTCTGCTCGAGCTGTAAACAAACGCGCGCGCGAGGGAAATTCCCCTCATGATGTCAAAGGGCAACAAGAGCGTGTTCGTTTCCACACGGCCGCACACTGATCTCATCATCACTCGTCATCACACGCTCCACTCAGACACTTCACATGTCAAATATAGAAAGAAATGTCATCTAGTCTTATTGGATCGAGCATAACAATAAATGAACATACTCTGCATCTGCTAAATGAATAAATCTAAAAATACACCCAACACGATTAAATGATTATTACATGCAAAGTGAGATATTTCAAGCCTTTATTTGTTATAATTTTAATGATTATGGCTTACAGCTTATGAAAACCTTTCACAATACGGTATTCTAATTTTGAATTTGGGGTTTTCATAAGCTGTAATCCATAATCATCACAATTATAACAAATAAAGGCTTGACATATCTCACTTTGCATGTAATGAGTCTATATAATATATTAGTTTCACCTTTTAATTTGAATTACTGAAATAAATGAACTTTTGCACCATATTCTCATTTTTCGAGTTTCACCTGTACATGTAGCACTAAAATGGTCATATTTAGTGTTAAGTGGATTGCATAAAAAAGTGTCCTGAAATATACGCCATTCTCATATGCATATGCATTTATTAAAATAGAAATGAATGATTTTGGTGAGCTTGATAATAACCACGCTTTCCCTGCTGTCTCGGGTCCAGACTGAAGCCGTGAGCCGCGGCGTTCCGGAGTTCCTGTCTCTGATGGAGGATGGGATGGATGGAGAGATCGGCTCCGGGAGGAAGAGGCTGAGGAAGACTGAGGAAGGATTGTACGCCTGCGATATCTGTGACAAAACCTTCCAGAAGAGTAGCTCTCTCCTGCGACATAAATATGAGCACACGGGTACTGACGTCATATCTCAAACACCCACCGCTTCCAGATCAGCTTTAGTTCAGAAGAGTCTTCTCATCACAAACATGAGCGAAAAATCAGATGATTAGCAGAATCTTCAGGCTCTTGGAATCAAATCAAACAATGAAAGTCAATGAGGATGAACTCTGTCAAAAATTAATTATATACTGTCAATTATTATATATATATATATATATATACAGTATAAGTAAAAGACATGTGCATAGTATTTATATATAATTTTTATATATATTTTATATATGCAAAAATTTATAATATTATATGTATATGTAAAACATATAATATTCTTAAGTAAATTAATATAATATAAACTAAAATATGATGTGTTTAAATTAAAAATATTAAATATAATACTTAAAATAAGTAGAAAATATATAGTATTTATTTATATTTTATATAATATTTATTTATTTGATATATATAACACTTTACAATATACAAAACTTTAAGTAAAAAAATACAGTATTCTTAAGTAAATTAATATATATACGTATATTATTCATTTTACGCATATCAAATATATAAGTATAAATACATATAAAAATACTTAGTAATATACAGTATGTATAAAACATACATATAGTATTTTGAAGTATATATATATATATATATATATATAGTCAATTAAATTGTATACATATTATTTTTATATGAAATATTATATATGTAATCATATATATTAAATTCTATAATATAATAAATATATTACATTTAGATTTTTAAAAAATAATACATATTTTTTATTTAAAGTATTGTATGATATTTTGTGTGTGTATATATATATATAGTTTTCTTAAGTATTTATATACACAATACTTAAAAATACTATATATATATATATTCAGAGAAAGCCACAGATACTTAAAATAAGTAGAAAATATATAGTATTTATTTATATTTTATATAATATTTATTTATTTGATATAACACTTTACAATATACAAAACTTTAAGTAAAAAAATACAGTGTTCTTAAGTAAATTAATATATGTAAACTTCAATTATTATATGTATATTATTCATTTTAAGCATATAAAATAAATAGGTATAAATACATATAAAAATACTTAGTAATATACAGTATGTATAAAACATAGGCCTACATATACTATTTTGAAGTGTATATATATATGACTATATATATATAGTCAATTAAATTGTGTATATATTATTTTTATATGAAATGTTATATATTTAATCATATATATTATATAATATAGTAAATATATTACATTTTCTATATATGTATATACATATAACATTTAGATTTTTAAAATATCATATATTTTTATTTAAAGTATTGTATGATATTTTGTGTGTGTGTGTATATATATATATATATATATATAGTTTTCTTAAGTATTTATATACATAATACTTAAAAATACTATATATATACAGTATATTCAGAGAAAGACATAGATACTTAAAATAAGTAGAAAATATATAGTATTTATTAATATTTGTATAATTTATTTATTTTATATATATATATATCACTACAATATACAAGACTTTAAGTAAAAAAATACAGTATTCTTAAGTAAATTAATATATATAAACTTCAATTATTATATGTATATTACTCATTTTAAGCATATCAAATATGTAAGTACAAAAACATCTGAAAATACTTAGTAATATACAGTATATAAAACATACATATAGTATTTTGATGTGTATATATATACATATAGTCAATTAAATTGTATATTATTTTTATATTAAATATTATATATTTAATCTAGGGCTGTCAAATGATTAATCGTGATTAATCACATTCAAAAATTTTTTATTTTTACATAATATATGTGGGTGCACTGTGTATAATTATTTTATATATATACACACGTGCTTGTATATATTTAAGAAATATTTTCATGTATATACTGTATATAGATTTATATATAATTTATATTATATATAAGTATAAATATTTTATATATAAATAATATTTTTTTCTTAAATATACATGCATGTGTGTGTATTTATATATATACAAAATAATTATACACAGTGCACCCACATATATTATGTAAAAAAACTTTTATTTTGGATGTGATTAATCATGATTAATCATTTGACAGCCCTAATTTAATCATATATATTATATAATATAGTAAATATATTACATTTTCTATATATGTATATACATATAACATTTAGATTTTTAAAATATCATATAATTTTTATTTAAAGTATTGTATGATATTTTGTGTGTGTATATATATATATATATATATATATATATATATAGTTTTCTTAAGTATTTATATACACAATACTTAAAAATACTATATTTATATATATATATATATATATTGAGAGAAAGCCCGAGATATCTGGAGTCTAACTGCACTTTCTGCTCCTGTAGGAAAGCGACCTCACGAGTGTCAGACCTGTAAGAAGGCCTTTAAACACAAGCATCATTTGATTGAACACAGTCGTTTGCACTCGGGAGAAAAACCGTATCAGTGCGACAAGTGTGGCAAACGCTTCTCTCACTCGGGCTCGTACTCTCAGCACATGAACCACCGCTACGCCTTCTGCAGTCGAGACAGTGACCCGGACGGGGCCGCTCCCGAGGGGCCCGCTTTCCTCAGCGACTCCAGCATGGAGGGAACGGCGCTGGAGTTCAGAGACGAGGAGGACGAGGAGGAAGAGGAAAACTCCCTCAGGAACCACACCTATGATGGAGACAGAGAGGAAGACACCGAGGAAAAACCCCCCGGAAGTGAGAAACATGAAGACATGACGGAGTGAGACGAGACACTCTTCAGCGGGGTTCACCAAAGATGTGGAAAACACACACTCGCGTCCTCTGTAGTGTTCCAAGCGACCAAAGACAAACATATAAACCAACACACACGTGTCTCCAAGGACTCCATTCATCGCCACAATCCAGAGCTGAAATCACTGTGAGCGGCAGAAAGCTCAGAAGAAATGACTCGAGACCAGGAATTAATGACCAGGAAAAACGGCCGAGAATGGGTCATTTTTTGCACCAAATTCAATTTAATATGAAATTATGTGTTGCATTAAAAATTATGCCTGTTTTTAGGACCATCAAGAGTTTTCACACTGGCATTAAATTATCATTACTGTAAGGGGAAAATTATATTATTATTATTTTTTATATCAATCTGATATTATATATATATATATAATCTCATCTTTATTATTGAAATGCTAAAAAAAATTATACATGGTATTTGTACTGCATTTGCTGATATAAAAATGTTAAAAATAATTGCATTACGAAAATTATATTATTTTTTAAATCAATCTGATATCAAACGATATATATATAATCTCAACTTTATTATTGTAATGCAAAAATATTGTATACATGGTATTTGTACTGCCTTAAATTTATGCTGATATAAAAATGCATTACAAAAACTTACTGAAATTTAACAAAAATGTCACAATGCAAAAATCTTAATGGTTCTAAAAGTTGGCTTCATTTTCTTTTTTCTTTATATTATATATATATATATAATGTTTTTCCTTTTGATTTTAGATTGAAACATGACCTCATGCTCCTTAAATATTTACATGAGACAACCACAGGTATTGAAATATTAAATATTTCTACAGTCTAGGATTTGACCAGCATTCACAGTTAATGGAGGGTTAGTTGATGGATCATTCGGGCGGCTTTTATGGTTTTCTATGTCATAATTATCTCGGACTATAACTCACAACAAGATTAAACACAGATTTGTCATCTATGAACTGGAAAAACTGTCAAATTGGCTGATAATGACCTCAAACTTTCAGCACGAGCTGTTCAAATATTTGATCAAATCCTGTTCATGTTGCAATACTATCATAAAGTGTCCTTTTGAGAAAGAAATATGCAAAGCTGGAATCCATAAGCATAAAGTGTGTATTATGAGTTGCACTGAACACGACCTCAGAAACGGCTTCATACTGCCAATTATGCAAATAAACATGCAAGAATTCAACATTCAACTATTAAAGTGCAAAACGGTGCTTCATTCATTTATAAGTGGACTTTTCTTTATACATGCTGAGTTTCCCTGTAAACACGCACCAAAAAGCTTCTTGCACACGAGAATCGTGCAGTATTTTCACCAGTGTTATTTTTATACAAAATTTGTAAGCTTTGTTGAAATGTTAATACATAATCTTTGTAATAAAGTTGTACATATTTAAAAAAAAAAAAAAAAAAACGGTCGCTGGAGTTTTTATTGTGCTCTTCACAATTATAATTGTCTTGCTCTGAAAGTGTTTATATAAGAAACACTATATTTGTAATGACTGAAAAATGCAGTGTCATGATTATTCATCACACAGATCGTAAATCATTTCTTTTTACTGTAATGATTTCTTTCTAATGACATGAAATGAGTGGCGTTGAGTTGAGGTAAGTGTCACTTTACCGTGGTAATGGGGGGGTCCCGCTGACACTACTGACTCAAAACGGCACAGATTTCAGGCCTCCACCTAAACACTCGTAGTGTGGTTACGGTCAGTCAGTCAGCAAGCGGATGTTGTTTTACATTTTTATAACATTTAGTTCTATAATGGTCTCTGGGTTTAGAGAAGATGCCAATGGAAATGCCACAAAAGAAATGAACTCATCACCAGTATAATTAAAGCAACTTCAACTTTCTTTATAAGTTATACCTACAAGTTTCAATTTGAAGTCAGTTTAATGTAATTTAAGTTAGCCAATTACATTATACTTAATTTACTTAAAGTCCCCCTAATTTTATTCCTTAAAACTCATCTTTGATCACAAAAATTACTAATTTAAGCGTTTTTTCCTTGAAAAAAAAAATCTTCATATATAGTTAAAATATCTTGAATGTAACTCGACACCCTCGCCTCATTTAGTATGCGCGGTTCTATGAATATGCAAATGAGCCCCGCCTCCACTCACTCACTCAGCTCAGAGATCCACTGGTTGACGATCACACGTTGATCTGATTGGTTACAAGGTCGTTTGTGACGTCAGAAACACCAGCGATTTCAAACCGTGTTTTTGAGACTGTCTTTGGTTCACTGCAGTTTTAAGGAGGAAATACTCAGCAATGCTGTCGACTTATGAACTTACACATGGTGTGTCTTAAAGCGTATTAAAAACACCACATAGACACATAAACAACATTAAAAGCTTGATTATCACCACAGGGGGACTTTAATTTAAGGGAGCAAGTAAACTTAAATGTACACTGTAAAAGTTGCTCACTTAATTAGGTACAATCAACTTGGATTTTTAAGTAATTACAACTTTAAACCACATTAAACTGACCTGTTAAATTAGTTGAATCTTGTAGTATCATTTATAAAAAAAAGTTGAAATTGCTTAACTTATTTTGATGAGTTAAAGCAATGTAAAAACATATCTTGTCATGACTTAATGATCATATAATTTTTTACAGTGCACACTTTAACTTTTTTTGGTTCAAAACTTATCAAATTTAGTCCCTTAGTCCCTTCTTCAAAAATGTGTTCCGTCTCACCCTGATTCACTATGGTAAGCCTATTATAATGTTGCAGACAGCTCGAAATTGGGATTTTTCCAACCTCGTTCTTGGAAATAACTTCTGGAACATTCGACCTGTGAACTCGCCAACTCGGTGAAGCCTACATCCTCGATCAACCACAACCTCAGCGAGACATTTACGTTTAAAAACCTTCGTTTTTGCTTTTCGTTAGCTGTTTTGAAAGCAATTTTATGTAGTTTTTATTCAGTTTTTGCCATAATTGAACAAAACAAGACTCGTGTCGTGGCGACATCATGTGGTCAATAACGTGAAGTGTGATTGGCTGGAACTCTCAGAGGGCTGAAGTGGGACATTTAATTTAGGATATTTGGGATATCCTCGTCTGGAACGCAGCACGAGTGTTTATATTTTAGACTAAGAAATGTTTCGCAGGAAATTGCGTACACATCTGGCACTGACGGACCCGTGCGTGTCTCGTCATATCCGTAAATAAAGAAAAGTTGTTCCGGCAGTTTGGGCTTTTCTGAGAACTGAGGGATTTTAAATGTTGTAAAAGTGACGCAGAGATGATGGTGAGTAAGGTGTTTTATTGAACAGATAAATTGCCATGTAGCTCTCTAACAGAGTTAATTGTGAAGATCATTTCATTATACTAGTTGTTTTAGCACTGTTAGAATTTATTTAAGTACCGTGTCTTTTAATTGGTAAAGCTACACTAACATCTTCAGCTAGTCATTTGAGATAATTTCCATCGAAACTGGTTGTATCTTTGAAGCCTAGCAGTGAATGTTTTATAAACCGTAGGATCTAGGCCTAATCATATTCATCCGCACAGTCACGCAGAGCCGAAGCACAACCAAAACAAAGTTCTTCCGCAAAGTGTACAGTTTTGTAAACCGCTTTAAGGCCAAAAGTTACATAGTGTAAATAGCTGGAATCTTTTTACACTGCAGTAAACTTATTGAAATTAAAATAAATCCTCTATAGAACAAGTGATACTTACATTAGAAGTAATCCAGCTGCTCGTTTTTGACCATTATTAATGCATGTAAACCGTTTTATGAGCTGATATGAGTCTCATTGCTATATTATCTTCTGTCACTTCAGAATAAATCAAAACAGAAAGTCTTTTCATATTGATTTTATGTTTTTATTGTCACAATTCTGAAATGCAGAATTTAAAGGAAGAAAAAGCAAGTTACAGCGATTGAGTCGTCTTCATCGTGGACTCATAACGAAAGGAAACGTCACACAAAACTGAGAGTTCATACATTAAAATAAAATATTCAGAGTCTCTGAACATCGTAGGAGAGTTTTCAGAAACATGAGGAGAGACAATGAATCACGCTATCGTCCACAAGCCTCTTTAAAGAACTAGTTCTCTTACAAATCATCATTGATGTCTCCTGTATGAACACAAAAGGAGATGTTTAGCACAATGTACACAGTCCTGTTCAAAATACGGAAATGCGATAAAGATTTGAAAGCTGAAAGAGAATTTTTCCAGTTTCTTTTTCCGTGGCTTAAACATTTTGTGTTTCACAGAAGAAAGAAACTCAAACCGGTTTTGGAGTGACATGAAGGAGAGTAAATGATAATTTTTGGGTGAATCATCGTTTTAAGCTTATAAACAGGCCGTGAAGGTTCATCTAATAATGTGACCTCGAAGGGCAACAACACTGAATTATTTCAGAAATAACAATATATATATATATATATATATCTCAGTCCTTTCTGTTCTACTTTTGGAGAACTTATCCAGAAACCTTCTTTGTGGCCCCTTGTGGAATTGAAATAATAAGAAAATAAAAAAATGAATAAATATATAAAATCAAACATTAAAAAGTGTGTAAGCGTTCCCGGTTCTTTTCTTCAGCCTGGATCTTTTTGTCGAGAGCCAAAGCCACAGTCCATATAAAATTACCAAACCGCGGCGTGTGTGTGTGTGTGTGTGGGGGGTGGGGGGGGGGACATTTTTTAAACATATGCATTTTTAGTTCTTCTTTTGTTCTGTTATTAAAAGCAGAGTTTTGGACAAATGGCAGCGGAGCTCCACCCGCTCTGAGACTGGCACAACACACACACACACACACACACACACTCTCTCTCTCTCTCTCTCTCTCTCTCTCTCTCTCTCTCTCTCTCTCTCTCTCTCTCTCTCTCACACACACACACACACACCTCTGAGCTTCCTCTCTCTCTCACACACACACACACACACACACACACACACACACACACACACACACACACACACACACACACACACACACACACACACACACAAACACACACACACCTCTGAGCTTCCTCTATCTCTCACACAGACACTCAGCGACCGCATCGGAACAATGGAAAGGAAATTACGTTGCATTCTGGAGCGAATTGCACCCAGTTTTATTTCTCCATTAAAAGGCGAGTAAATGACTCGAACTTTTGACCTGCGCTGATATTTATTATTATTGAGTGACACGTACAGCTTTATTTGAAAGCTTTTAGTCTTTTGCTTTGTGCATTAAAACTACACAAGCTCTGAGAAGGGAATAATTTGAGAGAAAAACACTTAAAAGGCACTAGGGATTAAATCTGTTGAAAGACGGATCGACACACACACACACACACACACACACACACACACACACACACACACACACACAGTAAATCTCACAAAACCAGTCACTTTCAGGTCACCCAAAAACATCATATTTTTGCATAATATTGTTCGTTATAATTAATTAAATCATAATTTATTACTCATTATCAGTGTTGGGTGTAATGCATTACCGAGTAATTAATTACTACAATTTAATTACTTTTCCCTTAATTTTAAAAAAAGAAATTACTCTTAATTTTCTGTAATTTAATTAGTTACTTCTGATGTAATTGCATTAATTCTATATAAAACAATAGTTGATCTAACAAAA